GGCCCCGCGCAGACATGGACGAGCAGTTCCAGCCCGTGAGTGCGGCAGGGCTCGGCCCGGCCCCGAGGGGGGCGTCTGTGGGAGGGGAGCGGTGCCTGAGCCCAGGGATGGGGTGGGAGATGGGGGTCTGCGCCTGCCCCCGGGGTGGGCAGTAGGGGGTCTGCAGGTGCCATGGGGTGGGAGGTGGGGGGTCTGTGTCCGCCCCCAGGGTGAGCAATGGAGTTCTGCAGGTGCCGTTAGGGTGGGAGATGGTGGGGGGTCTGTGCCTGTCTCCGGGGTGTGAGTTGGGGGGGTCTGTGCCTACCCCCAAGGTGAGAAAAGGGGGTCTGCTGCTGCCCCCAGTGGTGAGCTGTGAGAGTCCACACCTGCCCACCCCTCTTCACCGGGAGAGACAGGGGATCTCTGCCTGCCCTCCTCTGCCCCAAGGTGGGCAGTGGGGGTCTGTGCCAGACTGGCCCCCGTTCAGGGTGGGAGATAGGGGTCTGTACCTGCCCCCCAGGGCAGTTGGGGGTTCCAGCCCCAACACATTCATCACACTCATCATTTCTCCCATCACCCAGTGCCTGGATGGGATTGACTACGACGACTTCAATTTTGGCTCCCACATGATGGAGCAGAAGGAGCCCGTGATAGAGACCGGTAAGGGCCCCTCTGGCTGTGCCCTCACGGGGGTCCCCGGCTGCAGCGGGGTTTCCCGGCAGGCTGACTCACACCTCGTAGTTCCCAGCAGCACTATGGGCTGTGTCCCCACTGGCCCCACTGTGGGTTGGCTGGGAATCCCTGCCCCATGGCATCAGGATGGGGACTGTTCGGTCTGGCCCCACTACTCAGTCTACCAGGGACTTGAGGCTGGGTTGTGATGGGTCCCCAGGTGCTCCCTGCTCCCAGAGAGCCAGAGCATGCTCTGGCCCTTTCCTCCTCTTGCTGCTGCTTTGACCACTGCTCCTGGCTAGGCTCTGACAGCACAGGGGCTGGGGGCCCTGAGGACCTCCATGGGACAGACAGGGGTCACCTCACCTTCAGCACCATGCCCAGCATCCTTACTGGGAGCACTCACCTTGGTTATCCTGTGTTTCTCACCGGTGCCTTTCCTCTCTGTCCTCCAGTGGAAGGTCCCTACCTTGTCATCATTGAGCAGCCAAAGCAGGTAAGGATGTCACCCAGGTAAGGGCAGGTG